AGGGGTGTGGCGGGGGCAAACGGGGCCATGCAATAAAACCTCTTCAGGGGTTTAGTAGACTCAAGGGGTACTCATATGTAAATATGCAATGGGTATCAAGATCTGAGGATAACATGTAGAGGGTCTCTCCTCCTCAGTGAAAACTACCAATTAAAAACAATTTTAACATATTTATGTCCTATTCAAATTACAAATTTATTTTCAGCCCCTCAAAATGTCCACCTTTTCATCCTACAAACCAATCTTCGACTCCATCATGCAAGGGATGGAAGATCCGTGCCCCCTCGTTCGGGGGGTCGCCGTTCCTCCAAACTCCGAACTAGAGAAGGACAGTTCCTGGTCGCTGTCCCGGGTGAGCGAAGGATTCGCCGAGGTAGAACGCGAAAGCCGGGCAGTCAAACTACACCCCGACACCGTCTTCGCCTTCGGACCGGATCCTCCTTACATCCCGTACGGGGCGGCGCACATAGCTCGAAACCCGGGCGACATGGCCGCTGCGGGGGCCCTGCTTCAAACCGCCTTCGCCCGCAAGGACTACTTCGTCGGGACTCGGGTCAACGAAAACCTGCGCCGCATCATGCAAGACTTCGTCACCGAGAACCCGGGGAAATTCAAATTTTACGCTTACCCTCTCCTCCTCCCGAAAAGCTCGGAAGGCCGTGAGGTTGCCGAGTACTATGGAAAATGTGGAATCGCGACGGATCGCGCGGATTTCAACGCGCGGGCCGTTCGCGACTATTATTTTTCCATCTATTCCTGGACGATGATTCGAAACTTCAGTCTGGTCAGTCTGTCCGTGACGGCGGGAATGATGTGTCTCACCACCGGGGCGGACTACGTTGGGGCCGTCGACGATCCGGGCACTGGGGGGAAAGAGGCGTACATCGCGGGAGCGATTGATGCCATGAAAATGACGGGATCCCGAATGCCCGCCTTGCTCAATGAAGTCATCACCGTGACGGGTTTTATATATCATAAGACAGATTTATTAGCGAGGTTGGGATATACCTGGTCACTCTCATTCATTTTACGGATTATGATAGCGAATGAAAGTGAATTTCTTGTCATTTGAATGAAAATTTCAAATGAATGACTGTGAATGAAATGGTGCTTCACAGCAACGACTTTGGAAGAAAAGGACTGAATGTGAATGAAATTGATGTGAATGAATGATAAATTTGAATTAATGAACTATGAATGTGACTGAATGAATGATCAGTGTGATTGAATAAATGATGAATGCGAATGAATGATGAATGTGAATGAGTGATGAATGTGAATGAATGATGAATGTGAATGAATGATGAATGTGAATGAATGATGAATGTGAATAAATCATGAATGTGAATGAATAATGAATGTGAATAAATCATGAATGTGAATGAATAATGAATATCAATGAATAATGAATATAAATGAATGACGAATGTGAATGAATGATCCATGTTAATGCATACGAATGAAAATATGTAGTTCAAATTCGGACCGGCTTTTTGAATTAGAACATTTTTTAAACAGGTCGCGGAACGAATCGGGAAAAATGAAGGTTTCCCCCACCGAAAATCCGACTCCCTTCGAGTTCCTGGAATCCAGATGGTGGGAGGCCGCGATGCCGATCTTCTTTAAACTGGCCATCGCTCTCAATAACGGGGTTGGAGTTCCCATCGACGAAGGCTGGAACCCGGTGGGAACCCGGATTTGCACCTCGATCCGAAAAGCGATTGACATTATTATCCGATACAACGAGATAATTGACGTTCTTCACGACGCCCATTCAAACGAACCGATGAACGAGGTCCATGTTGCCATGAGATATGGAGGCCTTACAGCAGTCAAGGAGTATGCGGCCGCATGCGTCGATGAGGTCGCGACGTGCCAATGTAGCGCGGGCGATGCAAGTCACGAATATGCAGCTGATATTGCGATCGGTTCGAGCGCCTGGTACGGGCACGTTCCGCACACCGGGGATACACCCAGCTCATCGAGACGAGACATTTGACCCAGGACAAGTATGCCGCGTTGGCAGCCAGATCGAATCATGGGGCTTTTATAACGTGTCACGTGGCGCGCTCGGGGGAACATGGGGCGCTGCATGACAACCAGTGGAAATGCTTGACAACACTGGAATATCTCGAACCCTATTCCGGGGTGGGAGAATGTAAACACTGCGACTTGATAGGAGGTTGGGTCGTGAATCGATGTCTGTATCGGGACGATAGGAGTGGGAAGGAGGCCGCCCTAAGAAAATTTGTTCGGGATACGGTACATTTGAATAGTGAGAAGGGGATGGCCGGATTTTTTGGAGGGATTGTCTCCATCTGTGCGGGAGACAAGTTGCCCGGGTACATAATCCGGTAGTGCGTCGCAGGTGTGGAGGCGGCGTGGGAAACCCTTCGTGCGGCGGGAGCCGATATGTCGCCAACAGTCGTGGCGACAAAGGTGATAGAAAATCAGGTCGGGTTGGACAAAGCCTACATTGAGTCGCATAACTATTCTGAAGGGCATTCTCTGAGAAGAGGGATAGGTGGGGCGTTAAGCCTCATGTTTGATCGAACGGATGTGGCGATATATCCGAGAATTTTAGATGCAGCGGTTATCCATGCGACTCAAATGGAGGGAAAGATGAGAGCGAATAATTTGGGAGACAAGTCATGTCTGAATTTTGTGTGAAATTTTATCCTAAAAGTGTTCTTTTTAGTGTTGCAAGCTTTCAGGATACTTGTTTTATGTATGCAGAGTGGTTTAAATATCAGTAAAATTGTTCAATGAGAAAAACTTTTCCATTATTTCCAAAATTTCCATTAGTTACCCAAATTTTGTCTGTGAAATTACACATTTTAAGAATTTTGTCATCAGTATTCAATCATTTTTGAATATACTTAATTAATAAAAATGTCAATCCTAAAACTAATAGAATGTATCAGAGGTCGACGCTGCCTATCTCACGCCGCCGCGCCGCCATACGCCCATAGCATCTTACGCGCCGCCGCCGCCGAAAAATTTGATTTCCTATCCCTTTAACATTGCGACGCTGCGCCGCGCTGCCGACGCCGCCGACAAACCACCAACAAACTGGCGCCGAAAATTTGTCGGCGTCCACCTCTGACACTGATTTATGCAAAAAATAAACCTGACAAATTTCAGTAACTTATTTCTTCTTCAAGGCCAATAACATCCTCAAAACACCCCTGACAATACCTTGTACAAATTTAATCACCGTCTTTTTCGTAATCCTCATCATTCCTTGACAATTGAAGTCGATAGGTTTACAACTCTTCCTAAATTTGGCCATGTATCTCATCTCACCCGCGACCAGCCCGTCTCAATCCCGCCCCTTTTCCAAGATTGGGTACGGGCTCTCGAATTGATATACACGTTTGCAGCGCAGGATAACAACCCCGCCCACGACAGGACTACGAAAGGAACACAAAACATTATGAGGACGGAGGTAAATGTGTCGCCACCTTTCCCACTCCCGCCAATCACCGTATACCCCGAGGATATCGCCAGCTGGTCCAAGATGCCTTGTATCGCGGGCAAATAGTGACCAAAAACTAGTGAAATTTCCTTCATAATAAGTTGTAAAGCTCAATATTCAACAGCAACGTCGGCGGGATGATTGTTTAATTTAGTGGAGCATCTGATTCCCCAGGTAGCAGGTCGAAGTTCGTCCCGAATTAGGGGCAAAATAAGCAAAATTAATCCAGTGTAAGCTTGGAACACAGTTTTCATTAGGAATGCGTAGTGTACCAGGCCAAAAATTAATATGGGCGGGTAGGCGAAAAAAATTAATAGGAATGGGTAACTGCTTGGCGGGTAGTTATTCGGGAAGTGGACAGGATGTCCGGGGAAGATGAGAAAGTGGGAGAAGATAATGAAGGGGAGCACGTTAATGATAAAGTTAACCCCCAACCCCCAATTGAAAAGGCGATCAAGGCATAGAACGCGACTTACAAGAAGTTGAATATTCCGACATCGCCATTCCTGTAATTATTCAGATGTCCCAGGGTGACCAAAGTTATGAAACAGAACAAAATATGGACCACAACAACGTTGGCATGGTGCCACTGAGAAACGCAGAGTTTGCCCCGCTTATCATCCCAGATTAGCGGATGGCTGAAAAACCTCCCGGTTTTTAATGTTTCGCTAAATTTCTGGACGAATAATATCGTCAACATTTTCCGAACTTTATACAGTGATATTCGTTTCGGATGGATGCTCAGACATACATATTCGTCTAGATAAATTCGAGTTATCGTTTAAAAACTGGTGTTATTTATTCATGAAAAAAGCAATCAGAAGTTAAACATAATTGGTACGTCAGGATTAAATTCAGAAGCCGCGGACGTGTCGTGCCGTGACGCCCCTTGGAAGGGGCAAAAATATTACAGAGTAGGAAAGGAGGAATCATACAAGGTTAGAAATCTGAGATAGTGACGCAGTTATTAATTTATGGCGTTGAACTTGTAACAACTTGGTAGTAAATTAATACTGCATTGGAAAACTTTCCTGCTGATTTGGTAAATCATTAATACCGGGGTATTACTATGACACAGACAGGATTGCTTATCAATAAAACTTAGATAGAGTCATATATTAGCACCGCTCGGTATTATTTTCATACTGAATCTGTATGATTGTAGGGATGGGAAAGTTCTATAATTAACACCCTGAAATGCGGAACTTCTCCAATGTTAACTAAGCTCCTCGCCATGCTATCCTATCATGTTATTCTGCTCTTGCACTTATCTAAGCACGTAAACATATTATCAATATGTTTACGTTTTCCAGACATTATTCCGACGTCCATTATTTAAAAGTAGTGATGTAATAATTTTATACTTCCCAATATTTCGATTGACATTATATAACTATTTTTATCAGATGAAGGCCCCAATTTAAAATTGTATCCTGAAGTTACAAAATTGTCTGAAATTGTCAATTTCAAATATTTTGTGCAAAAGGTATTGGAGTTATGTATTTCCATAAACATGTAGAAGTTAATGTTAGTAAATATTTATTGTCAAGTTGATTTTTATTGCCCAGTACAATTAAAATCGAAGCACAAATACAATTACTGTTGCATCATTTAGTTTATATTTTAAACCAATACTATTCCAATGTATAAATATTAAATATATTAACTATCCCCTATGAACTAGGAGAGGATCAATGAAACCAAAATGGTATGAGTATGAAGACGCAGGAACTTTGTCCTCTCCGGTACTTCTGATAAATTGATGTTATATTATCTTACTACCCTACACAGTATTTAAGTTTAATTTCATACATATATCTACTTATGTACATTCACTCTGATCAAATCTGATCACGTGGTGACTACATATATGCCATGCTTTACCGATATGATAATAAACTTATTCTCGACTGATGGTAAATTCATTACCACCCTGGTAATATGTTTTTTTTACTGTGGTTGTATTTACAAATATATTGTAGCAACTTTACTAGCACCCAGTGACAAATTATTAGCATGTCACATGTACGTATGCAGTAATAACAGTCAGCCTGGTAACAATAGCCAGGCATTGGCATTGTTACCGAATTTTTTATGGCGTAGGATTTACTTAATTTAAAATCTTTCCTTCAATATAATTTGAATACTTTAAAAATAATTTGTTTGAAGTTTGTTTGTTATTAAGAAATAGTTTCACGAATGGTGGTGTAATTTCCGTGCTCGAAAATGTACACTCTTAAAAACCCGGGGTTAATCATCATCGATCGGTGTGCAAAGCCAGCTATTTACAATTATATGATTCACAAATAAAATATTGAAATAATAAATGATAGCAATAGGTCAAATAATGATAATATTTCGATACGTCAAATATTTTCAAAATGTCCACCATCTCTCCTACATTTCTGGACCCCAGTCGTACTTGATGCTAAATCCTGTCCCCACAGTTGCGTTGTCCGACTGGAATACAACCACGTAAATAGGCGAGCTGTCATATCGAACAGTAGTCTCATTGCATAGAACCCTGAAATTAAATACAAATTCGAATAAACCCAAATTTTTTTAGAATTGGTAACAATTTCATAATTATAAATAAGTAAACAAATTTTAAGTAAAAAAAAGTTTATATTGCACATATTAAAACAGTATGTGGGGCATTCAAATAGCGTACTCACGACAACGTCTAATTTTGTATCGAAACTCATTTAGCAGCTAAATAAAATTTGCGTGGTGTGGCCGGTGTGGGGAATTCACAAAATATGACTTCGTAATTCCCACAAATTTTAATATTATAATATATTTTGCACTCACAATGTAGGCGCAAACCATGTTCAGCCCAGATAATTTTAGGACCTTATTAGTTTGACAGAGGAAAAGCAGGAGCCTCCAAAAATTATCTGGGCTGAACATGGTTTGCGCCTCCATTGTCAGATGATTTTTGTGCATTTTCGTAATTAAGTAGTTAACATTAGGGACTTATCCCTTTGTAAAATTTGCTGATGGGGCGAGACATTTGAACCACCCGGTATTCATGTCCATGGTTCCAGGTTTATACATAGATACATACGGCTCCTATGCATACATGGCATATACATACATACATGCACCGCTTATTTTTAACTATTGTTGAACAGCAAGAAACGAATCTCCGAGAATTTTAAGTACTTTACATAATTCAATTTTCTGGAAAGTGTAACATTGAACACCAATCATACACATGTAATCGCGTTAATTTACAATACCTTGAAATTGGATAAAATCCGTTGTAATTCATGGAAAACGTGGTAACCGTATCAAGACACGAGGCGTCCAACCCGACCGTCTTTATTTCAAAGCGACTCTGCATAAAGTCGTAAACCCAATTGGGCGGGGTGAAAAGGACAACGGTAAATTCACGATTGGCATACTGCACATCGGTCGCTGGATGTTTGAACTGGGCACTTTGACCCCCCTCAATCCCAGGCTGACACGTTTGCACGCTTTTGTTTGAAATGTCCATATCTCGTACTGGCATGGAAATATACTCCAGCACGAATAGCCGTTTATAAATTAGTGCAGCGCTGCTCGTAAGAAAACTTATGATGACAAGATTTCCAGAAATTTTGAATTTCCCTAATGTGTTTCTGAAATTGGAAAATAAAATTATGTAATGTGAATTTAAATAATAAATATAATTTGTGACTTACACCCGCACATTTTGCACATGAGACGAGCCGTAATTGAATGTGGTTAATTTAAGGTATTCCTGTGTCCCGCCAAAGACATCCATTTGCAGTATGTCGAAAGTAAAATCGCTTAGGAGGTCTGATTTTACCATCCAGACGCAATATTCTGCTCCTACAGCGTGTCCAGATGTGTACTCGATTCGACCATGACTACCAGTTAGTACGTCGCCACAGGTTGTCGCTGTGCAAAATGTTTATGATTTGTAATTACAAAATTAACCTAATTAAAATTTAAGCAGTAATAAATACATACAAACTTCAAACTCAGGATTAGCCAAGGAATGTGCACCCAAGAGTTTCGAACCATTCCCGGTTAAATGCTCTAAATTATTCGGCCCTGTACCAATAATTTCGTTTAAATTTATTTTAATAAAATACAATTTATAACAGATTTTGGTTTATATTCGTACCTGCAATACGTGCAGCGTATCCACCGCATAATAATGCTCCGATGTAGAAAAGTATCGTAGTTATGTTCACAATTGATTGCATTTTAATTGCTTATTTAACATCGCCCCAAAATGAGCTTAAAGTTATACTAATGGCGAATGGAGATCAAACTTTGCCTTATATGCCCTACCTAATCTGCTGACGTAGCTGAATAATCAAAACTTGATAAAGATGTAAAACAACCCCGCAAATATTTACACGGTCAACTTCCCCTGAATCACAATACCTGCATATATGTGCATATCGTAATTATCAGCTTATCAATCATAAGCACTATCGAATACGAGCATACGTCCGTTTTCGGTAGGTATGGAAGTATGTATGTTTGTGACCTGGTAGTGTTAATAAGACTGTGTTATGCTGTTGATATTATTGAGGGATTTAAGCCTATGATAAGGTCGTTATAAATATCTGTCGGTCCGTCTGTCTGGTCAGGCGGGAACGCAAAGGCATAGAGACTTGAAATTTTTAACGTCAACTCCTTACGCCCTCAGCTAGTTCCAAGATGGGCACTTTATTTAGGTTCGATCAATTAAGGTCAGAAACCGACAAGATCGGACCAAAAAAGAGGAAATTGCTTATGTATTTGTTTTAATTTGGACGAAAATTTACCCCGAATTCGACAGTGTCTTCATTTTACACGAAAGGTAACGAATGGTCGTAAAAATGTTACAGAATGTTGAATTGCATGCATATATGTAAACACGTCAGACGTGTCAATATGTATTAACAGCTTTTAAAATGACAAAAACAATGATATTTATCTTGATGCTTTCACCCCTAGGTTACATGCGTTGTAAAGGTTTATGAAATTTTATTTTTGACATTTGAGTAACAATTATTATAACCAGAAATTCGAGAGACACAAAAACCTTGATTTTGAGGAGTGTAAACTCACAAAAATCAGCTCTACAATTTTTTAAAATATTAACAGAATCAATTATCAGTTTTTTGTCTCTAAAAGTTCCGGTTTTGATTATTATTACCCATTTACTTATCAATTACAAATATTATTTAATGTGCGATTTTTTAGTCTCGCTTACTTTCATATAAATTGTCCGAATTTTTAATATTACGCAATTTGTTTTATGTATAACAAACAAGTTTGAAAATAATTCAGTTAAATTAATGAAAACCTTTTACACTTATGTTACACCTACATACGTTTGAATAAAATAAGCCGCCAATCAGTGTTCCCAATCGGATTCTATGGTTATCCCACTTCCCACCGCAGTATGGTCGGTGTACAATATCACCACGTACATTGGACACCATCCTAAAGTGTAGATATTCCCACACAACCTAGATAAACCACAACGAAGAGTTATACGACATAGTGTTATAAATAATACAAATTTCATGATGCTAATCACAAAATGTTGTCTTCTTCCAGAATGAAATGAGAAGTGTCAAAATTATTAGACTAAACTTTGCTTTCATAATTTCATAATTACCTGTCCGTTGAATGCTGTTGTGATCCATATAATGTCGCCGTGGTGACAAAGTCCGTACAAGTTCCTTCCAACCCCCGCGTATTTAATCGCAATCGGTTGTTTTTGTTAATTTCATCGAATATCCAGTGTGGTGGAGGGAAGACTAAAACAGTAAATTCATAATTGTCGTAGGATTCTTCTGAAGACGTAGGATATCTAAATTGATTTGCTGGGCTGGTCACATTAACTATGGTTTGTATGCTGTTTGGTGAAACTAGCACGGTATGGGTCCGCCTAACGACGAATTCTAATTTGAAGGGAGACACCTGCCTCAAATTTCTACTTAGCGTTATTATAACTACGTGTCCGGATAAGGTAAATTGCTTGTAATCGTATCTGTAATTTCATGAAAATACGTTGCAAAGCCTGAAATAATTATCTTGCTTTTACGACTTACTGGGGTCGACTGACTTGCGCTCTGCCAATTCCACCCGATGATGTGCTATTAATGTACCAAAATGAATCCATGCTTGGCCACCAAATAGAATTACTTTGGAAAGTGGTTAGCGTAAAGGTAGCGTGAGATGGAGATCGAACCATCCACGTGCAAACTTCTACTGCCGTGGTTGACTCTCCAAGTTGTGGAGTATAGTCAATTCGTCCTGTCGTACCGTTGAAGATGTGCCCACACGTTGTCGCTAAGGAAAGGGATACAGTAATTATTTATTTTAACATAGTTGAGAAAGCTGAGTGAAAAGTCAAATTGTAAATTAACAGACATTATATGATATGTATATTTGCATAATGATATGTATACCAATATCTGTAATAGGTTCAGCTGTTGTAGTTGTGCTCTCCGTCGTTGTTGTTGGAATTGGGCCAGTTCCTCCGGTTCCCCCAGTCCCGCCAGTTCCTCCTGTTCCCGGTGGCAATGTCTCTGCCGTAGGGTCCTTTGTTGTTTCCACCGTTGTTTTTAGCGTCAGTTGTGTTGTTGGCTCCTCAGTGGTTAGATCCTCAGTGGTTGTTGGTTCTTCGGTAGTTGTTGGATCTTCAGTAGTTGTTAATTCTTCGGTAGTTATTGGAGCTTCGGTAGTTGTGGGTTCTTGGGTAGTTGTTGGTTCTTCGGTAGTTGTTAATTCTTCGGTAGTTGTTAATTCTTCGGTAGTTGTTAATTCTTCGGTAGTTGTTGGATCTTCGGTAGTTGTTGGGTCTTCGGTAGTTGTTGGTTCTTCGGTAGTTGTTGAAGTCTCAGTAGTTGTAGGTTCTTGGGTAGTTATTGATTCTTCAGTCGTTGTTGATTCTTCCGTGGTTTGCTCATGGGTGGTTGCTTCTTCTGTTACTTCATCAGTTGTCGTCAGCTTTGTGGTAACACGTGTCGTCGTTGGTTGTGAGGTTGGAGACTGCACTTCGCAAATATATCTGAGCAGTTGAGTATTCCAGCGTGAAACCCAGTCTGAAGAGAACCGATTCCTATACGAAATCCCGATTCTTAGTAGTGGATTAGGATCCAATGGGGGACTTCCGTTTTCCCATGGGGCCCAATCCCCCACCTGCTCATAGTTAGATCCCCATCGCCACACCTCAAGATTGGAATCAAATAGACCTTTCGTCCAGTATATCATACCTGCTAAGTATAATTTATTTATTACCTGTCCCTTGCAAATGCATAAAACTGAAAATACCGTATCCATAATTCTCCAACATGCGGTTTATTGATGATTGTTCATCCTCCGACTCTATTGATACTAGGCCGGAATCTTGTCCAAATAAATTTTGACAATCCTCATCAGCATTACTCCATGAAGCCTAGAAATATTTTTAATATGACATAAATCCTGCATATAACTGATAGTACTTCAAATAAAATTTACGAACAAAAATCTATCTCAACCCACCCCATTTGCACTGACATAATAGTGCCGGTAGCTGTTTAATTTAGTAGGGTGTTCATAATGGCCAAGATAAGTCATTCCTACAGAATAGATATCAATGATTTTTTTAAATTCAAAACGGGAATAATAAAAAAATGAATTCTGAACCTACCCAAATCTTCCGTAGCTTCACAATTACAAGCAAATATTCCCAGCAGGACATAAGTACCTATAAAACTACCTAGCCTAATAATCATAATTTTGATTTTTGAGCAAAATAATCTCGTTCAAGTTCCCCCAGACAGATGAAACATAACTAAACTAATTTAAAACCATGCAACGTATTCAGGATTCCATTATGAGTGTGTTCGTTATCCTTATCAGAACTTATGCCCACCTAAACGGTAATGTTTGCATTAGTAATTGATCAATATTTAGATCAGTATTCAATTTCTGCGTTGTTAATGTTATTTACACCCTGTATTTGCTTAACCTCTCATCACCATGGTGATTATTTGTGCATGTTTTTCAGTAAATCGAACAATACAAGCTAAATTGGCTTTGGCTGAGCTATGTGATATTACGTGAGAATAATTAGGTCGAGAAGGATTAGTTGACCAGGAAATGGTGGATAATCAAATATTCCAGGTACTTTATCACTTGGCACAAATTCCCATGTCCCATGTCAAATTTTATCAATCAACATTATATAATTCCCCTGACAAACATTTCTATGTACACTGCGTCAATGGATGGTTTATTATACAAAATGTTAATCCGTGTGGACATTGTTTAGATAAGTCGGCAATTTGTCACTGCTCAAAGGTAAAAATTATATTTACTTATCCTCAAACTGTCATTGCGTTTTCTGCGTAAATATTCTTGTTCCAATATGTAAATAATTTTTAAACTTTAATTCCCCTGAAAAATATTTGGTCATATCTTACGTCAATGAATGAGTTGATCACCACGAGCTCCGCCGGGTCCAAACCTGTTTGCTTATTTCAGCAAATATTTTCTATTTACAGTGGGTTGATTGCATGATCACCAAAAAAGGTGAGGTTGCATCCGACTACATAAAAAAAGCTTGACTACTTTGAATTAAGATTTTGACCACTGCGAAATAAAAGTATTGGGTCAAATGATAAAGGTAGTTTTACAGGATTAAAACTGGCGACGTGTCTGGTCTTAGGTTATTTAAATTATGTAAATAAAATATGTTTAAGTGAAATCACATAGACACATATTTCACTGATGCGTAATTGGGCGGAATCTTAAATGTTTGCAATTATAAAACTTTGCATCGTCCAATTACTTCTGTGATACATTTGAAACTCTCCAGTTTTTTTAGAATCGAAAAAATGGAAAATGGATGGGCACACTAGGTCAATCGAAGTACTCCAATTTTTTTCCGTCAAACTAGAGAATTTAGATCATTTGCGCGTAATTTTGAACCTTACTGTAGTGTATGTGAATAAGGTAGGCGAGACTTAAGGGTTCACATACATACTTAAAGACTTGACTTTATTACATGAGTATGTAAGTTAAACATATGGAAAGAGAAGTAAAGAACTTAACACTAGGAGAGGCGGATTCAGTCTGCTGAGAAGCAAGTTCTGGGCCACTACTTATAAGTAGAGAACTGAGACGTACTGCCACGTCGACACTATTACTGGACTATACCGGTATATACTGGACTACTGACCTCCTAACCTTGAGATACATAGTTGTATGAAAAGCTACAGACATATGCATATACTAGGGTTGCCGCGGGTAACGGGTCGGGTACCCGTTACCCGCATACCCGCACGATTTTTGCGGGTACCCGTTCTCTGCGGGTAGCGAGAACTACCCGCACGGGTAACGGGTAGTCCAGTTTTTATTTAATTTTCGACTTAAAACAGCTCACAAAGAAAGTTAGTCCATTTACGAACAAAAGCACCAATTTATTATTTATTCATTTCAAATTTTGGCATTTTCCATTTGCCAGCAACTAGCGTTCATAGCGAGCGTGTGTTTTCGGAAGCAACAGAAGCCTACGGCAGCCTTAAATGCTTTTTATTCTTGGAAAATGCGGAGAAATTATTGTTTCTCAAGAATAACTTGCCTGCTCTGAAACATCAGTAATAACTTGACTTGTACTTGTGTCTTTATGTAAAACTGACGAGATTTTAATTTGTGCTTTGAAGGTGAAAAACTTGAATCGATTGAAAGCAAAAATTCTATTTGTAGGCAATTTCGTAAATGATGCCTTCATTTAAAATATAAATTTTAAAAATCAGACTAAAAATTGACTCTATTTTCAAATTACACAAGGATTGTCTCGCGAGTATATCAAAATATTAACGTCAAAGTCCAATTTTTAAGTACATGTTTTGCATCTTTTTCCTTCGCTGACGTTAACCATAGTTGACTTTGAACTCTCCCCCCAAATAGTTTTCTTTTAACGGGCTATTCAACAGAAAAATAAGTGATAATTCCTAATTTTTGGCTTGATTTTTCTATATAATTCGCCAAGAAATCACGGCATAGGCTTGAAAAGGTTCCATTGTAAGCCAAAAAAGTTTGGTTTCAGAAAAATCTAAGGTCATCTAGCAAATTATGGCATTCGGTACCTGCACAGTATTATATCCAACTACTGAACAACCCAAATGAGCAAATAATTGATTAAATCAAATTTATTCTGAAGGTTAGTTAGTTTTAACTTAATTCTCGTAACGGGTAGCGGGTAACGGGTACCCGCACGGGTACCCGTGCGGGTACGGGTAGTTGTGCTGCGGGTAACGGGTCGGGTAACGGGTAGCATTTTCGCTACCCGCGGCAACCCTAGCATATACCACATTACCTTCCCCAAATTTACTACCATTTACTATAAGTTAATCGGTCAAGAGGTTTGTGTTGCCGTCGAGGACGCGAATAACTCGTTGAAGCTTCCGTTTGTGAATTCTCCGAGATAGTACTTTGATCGGCAGATTCTTCAGTATTATTGGGAATTGCTTGTTCAGGTTCAACTTCCGGGACTGAGTTCAGGAGTGTAGAGAAAGTCGTCGTCGTCTACTGGATCAGAGGGCGGTGGACGTGGTTTGACATGTGCCTCCAATACCTGGTCGATGTGTCTCTTCATAATCTGACCATTGACGCTGATGAGGAACGACACTGGACCCACTGGCTTGGAGATGACACCAAGTGACCACTTCGGAGCGTTTCTGGAGAAAGTCTTGACCCACACTTCTTGTCCAGCAGTAAAGGAACGGGAACGACTCTTCTTGTCGTAACTTGCACACTGGCGATGCTGTGCTCGACTCACATTGGCATGAGCATCAGGCAAAACCAGGTAAAGGCGACTACGAAGCTTTCTACCAAGGAGCATTTCGCAGGGTGCTGCCCCCGTGGTAGCATGTGGGGTGAGGCGGTACTCGAACAGGAACTGCTGCAGTCGCAAGTCCACATTCTCCTTCCCCAATTTCATAGCTTTCTTAAAAGTTTGGACAAATCTTTCTGCTTCCCCATTGGACCTAGGGTGATAAACAGAACTAGTGGCATGGCGAATACCATTACATTTACAAAAAGTTGCAAATTCTTTGGAGGTAAATTGTCTCCCATTGTCAGATACAATTTGTTCAGGAAGTCCAAATCGGATGAGTGAATCTCGTATGTGTGAAATGACATTTTGACTCGTTATAATTTGTTGCTGACAATAAACTTCTGGCCATTTGCTATGAGCATCCACCATGATAAGCCACATCTTGCCTAGGAAAGGTCCCGCAAGATCGATGTGAAGACGCTGCCATGGGCGTTCTGGAAACTGCCATGGGTGTAGCGGAGCGCTAGCAGGGTTGGGACGATGCTCGGAACAGGTCACGCATGCTTTTCCCAAGGACTCAATCTCCTCGTCGACTCCAGGCCACCAAACGTGCTGTCGGGCGAGAGATTTCACACGGACGATTCCAGAATGACTTGTATGAAGCTCATCTAGAACTTTCTTTCGTAGCTGAGTGGGGATGACGACACGTGTGCCCCACAGCAGTACACCTTGCACCATAGTTAGTTCATCTTTTCTTGAATAATATGGTTGCAAATACTTGTCTTGTTGTTGTAATTGCGCTGGCCACCCAGACAATGTGAAACGAACAACTTCAGATAGAGTTTTATCACGGGCTGAGAATTGACGAATTGCTGTTGCCGTGACGGGAAGAACTTCCATGCTTTCACTAGCGATGAGATTGACTTGCGATGTAAACTCCTTATCAGTTGCAGATTCATTCTTTAATGGTAATCGGGACAGGGCATCAGCATTACCATGTTCGGTTGTCTTCCGATACTGGATTTCATATTGGAACTGGCTGAGGTGCAGACTCCAATGATGAAGACGTGTTGCGACGTAAGGCTGTAGATTTGTTTTGGGACCAAAAATTGCAAGTAAAGGCTTATGATCAGTCACCAATATAAACTTACGACCACACAGAAACTTAAAAAGCTTTTTAGTTCCATAAATGATTGATAATCCTTCCTTCTCGATTTGAGAATACCTCTTCTCAGTCTCGGACAGGGACTTGGATGCGTATTGGATCGGTCGCTCGGTACCATCCGGGTATTTGTGAAATAGGACGACTCCTAGACCTTTAGATGAAGCGTCACAGCTTATTCCGATGGGAAGAGTCGGAGAAAAATGAGCGAGAACTTCACTGGATGAGAGTTCTGACTGCACCTTCCGAAATGCGTCTCTGCATGGACTTGTCCACTTCCATGGAACATTTTGACGAGTCAGTCTGTACAGGGGCTCACAAATATCTGACAAAAAAGACATAAATTTGCCATAGAAATTAACAAGACCAAGAAATGCCTGTAATTCAACCACGTTAGCTGGTTCTTGAATTGCGAGGATTGATTCCACTTTGCTTGGATCTGTGTGAATTCCGTTCTTCGAAATGATGTGACCCAGATAAGTGATGGACGGTTTCATAAACTCACACTTATCTTTCGACAGTTTGTAGTTGCACTCTCGCATCCTTTGTAGAATTGTTCGGAGATTTTGCAGGTGTTCTTGTTCTGTTCTGCCGCTGCAAAGACCGTCATCCAAAAAGGAACCTGACATTGGGACTCCTTGTACAAGTTTGTCACTAAACTCCTGGAAAAGTGCAGGGGATGAGGCCACTCCCTGGGGTAACACGTTGTACCTGTAGAGGCCACGATGTGTGTTGATGACCAGGAAACTTTTCGTGCGCTCGTCCAGCTCCATTTGATGATACGCGTCTGTGCCATCCAATTTGGAGAAAGTCTCACCACCTGAGATACTGGAGAACAATTCTTCTGGGTTTGCAATGGGATATTGCGTAATACACAATTGATTGTTAATAGTATTTTTAAAATCGCCTGTTATTCGAACCTTCCCATTGGCTTTTGGGACGACCACCAAGGGTGAAGCCCACTCACTGTGTTCCACTCTTTCAATCTGTCCTGCTTTCTCCATCTTGTCGAGTTCGCGATCCACTTTCTCTCGTAAAGCGTAAGGGATAGGCCGGGCCTTGAGGAATTTTGGTGTGGCGTCGTCCTTTAACACGATACGAGCCTAAAAATTCTTTATTCTCCCTGTAGACTCTGTAGAACTGAAGACGTCTGAGAACTCGCTGAGAACAGACTTGAGGGTTAAAGTTTGCACATTACTGACAGCATTGCACTGAGCAGCAATTTCATTCCAATCCAATTTAAATGCTTTCATTAGATCACGACCAAATAGCGACGTACCTTTACTGACTGGAAGTGAACGTGTTATTTTCTGACCTTTGTAGACAATTGTAGTTTTCAATTCCCCGAGAGGTTTGAATTGGTGATTCGTATACGTGCGAAATGTAGCTTGAGACCTGGAGAGCTGCGGTGAACCCAATTGATGCCAGAATTGTCCCGAGAGGAGACTCTTCTTGCATCCGGAGTCGAACTCCATGACGTGACGAACGCCGGCAATCTCAACCGTGATGTTGATTTGTCCATCATCACTTGTTCCGACAGAGTGAATGGATGATACATTGTTGTTTCGATGAGGTTGATTGCGGTGTTGATTTTGTTGTTGTGGTTTTGGGGTTGAGCTTCCTCCACTGCGACGATCTTCGCGAAATGTCCCCGTTTGGCGCAAACAAAGCACTCGGCGTCTTTGTGAGGGCAATCCTTGGGCGACGTATGACTGGACGATGCACAATTAGGACACGATTTCCTGTTTTGTTGGTGTGGATTGTTGTTCCGCTTTGGATTGGATGGTTTGTTGTGATTTGAACCGGACTGGCCTGCACGCGGCGTGTTTTCCGACTTCCGGTAAACCTTGTTGACTTGGTCTGCTCCGGACTGATGAGCATTTCCATCTCGGACAAGGGTGGTGCTGAGTTCTGCGGTTTCTTGTGCCTGAGCGACGGCGACCACGTCTTTGAGGGTAACGTCGTCCTCTTTGGTAAATAACCTTCTCTGTGCAGATTCACTCAACAAGCCAAATATGAATTGATCCCTTAACCGAAGTTCTAAATCCGTCTTAAACTTACAAGTTACTGCCAATCGTCCTAATTCAGCAAGAAATTGAGCAACTGTCTCTCCTTTGTGTTGTTTCCTCCCCATCAAACGAAATCGTTCTGCAATAGCTTTGGGTGCGGGTTTGAAGTTATCGATAACCAACTGGAGTAATTCGTCGAGTGTCTGGTCAGAGGGTTTATCAGGAGCAATGAGGGACATCAGGGTCGCGCAAGATTGCATTCCCAACGTAGCTAGGAGAATGTCTCGACACTTTCCATCGTTTTTCGCCGGGTCGTGGCCGTTCGCACCGAGGAACGCCTTAAATGTGAGAACCCAGACATCAACGTCATCCACTGATGAATCGAACGGTTTCAAACTACCCGCTGTATTCATTACGACAGGTTTAAGTTCTGGTTCGGGGTCAAAAACTTCACTATTATCGTCGGACTGATAAGTGTTCTCTTCTTTTCCAAAAAAATTCCACATGAACAAGATTTAAGTCACGTTATCCTCGTCGCCAAATGTAGTGTATGTGAATAAGGTAGGCGAGACTTAAGGGTTCACATACATACTTAAAGACTTGACTTCATTACATGAGTATGTAAGTTAAACATATGGAAAGAGAAGTAAAGAACTTAACACTAGGAGAGGCGGATTCAGTCTGCTGAGAAGCAAGTTCTGGGCCACTACTTATAAGTAGAGAACTGAGACGTACTGCCACGTCGACACTATTACTGGACTATACCGGTATATACTGGACTACTGACCTCCTAACCTTGAGATACATAGTTGTATGAAAAGCTACAGACATATGCATATACCATACTTACTTTTTAATTTGCATGTCGTATATAGAAACAATTTGGGTTCTATTTTAGGAGTAAGCTGAACGATTGTGCGTATCAAAGTAAATGCCAAAAATTATGTAAATATTTCTTACAAGAAAACGTGAATTTATGTTAATTCAAATTTTACTCAATATCTACAAAAAAAACTGGCTTCTACCGGGATTACCAGAAAAATTTACCGATATTTTAATGTGTTATTACCAAAAGTGAGCTGTCATCTGAATAACAATTGCGTAGCATGAAGATTTAGGTTGGTTAAATATTGAGTGAAGGTTGATTTTATTGATGGGCTTAAAACTGGCGACATGTCTGTCGCTGATTTGATTTTGATTCTGTGAAAGCGAAAAAATCGATTTGGAGCCGTTGATTTAACAGTTAGATTAATACTTAGTTTCTCATGAATCAAAGTTAAAAGTTATATTTACTTATCCTCAAATCGCCATGAAGATTATGAGAATTTCCTGCGCATTTATTCCAATAATTAATCGTTCGCCTTGATCGGGTGTTCTATTTTACGCGAAAATGATTAGTTTGTGAAAGTCGAGTAGGATTAGTTTACAGGGAAATGGTTGACATTCAAATATTCCAGAGCACATATGTACATATTACCTCACAAATTCCCAATATTTAACTCTTCAAATTTACTCAATTGGTATAAATTTCACTATAAATATGTATGGATGAAAAATTAAGTTTGTTTATTAGCAGTTAAATATTAAGAGCTTGCTATTCGTTTCACTATTCATGTTGTCGCCTTGAAAAATACACATATTTTTCGTTCTTGTGGTATGAAAAATGATTTATGGTAATTAAAGGTAGGAGCTTTCTTAACTCCCAGGTTCAGGTAAAGACACAAATAACTTATAACTCATAACAACATAAATAGTTAACTTTCACATTATCAAGCTAACTTCTTAAACAGATATGTATTATGCACAGAACCGAACCTACATATGTAGAATAAATTTGAGGTATTATCAGTTTGACCCTACATATCTATACAAAAAATATTATAAGTTAACGATTAAACCGACCTGTGGAATAAATATCATTAAAATGTACTCAATAATCAATAAAATATCCCGCAGGTATACATACTGTATTGCGCTCAACCAAAAATAAAGAAACCAATACATTTTATCGTCAAATAAATCTTTTTCATTGTTTTTATTTCATTCTAGCAAAAAGTTTTAAGTAATTCCAGTTCCATTCGTATTCAGCCATCTTAAATCGATTCATCATTTCTTCTCTGAACTTGCACATCAAAATGTATACGCAAAATTTTCTGAAAGTTTTCCATTTCGTGCTCTACCTTCCCAATTTAGTTGGCTCCTTTCCAGTCAACGTGGATCCTAAAAGGGTCACATTTTATATGTCAGAAAAGTCGAAAAGCCGAAACACCCGGGCAACCTTACTCTTTCTTTTTGTGGTGATGCCTTTCTACTTATTTCGAACCTGGGAGATTTGGGCGTGGAAGGGAGGAAATTCCAATAAATATTTCCACCTGTGCTACGCCATTTCGTTTGTGGCTGTCATGGAGACCATCACGTTGCTACACATTCGCTGGAAAAGGGACGAAATAAGTGTCGCGTTTAGTCGAATGGTCCGGAGTTGTAAACGGTTTGAGGGTAAGGGATTTCTAAAACTTGTGCCAATTTTTAAAATCGGCCTGTATAAGTATTTGAGAATTTTCTGTGAAAAATTTCTCTTTAATATCAAATCATGAAAATTTACTGTGTAAAATTTCTGTTGAGTCAAGTCTGGAGAATTTCATATGCAAAATATTCTTTTAATAATTTCAAATCTTGCAAATTTACTGTGCAAAATATTCGTTTAATAATTTCAAATCTTGAAAATTTACTGTGAAATTTCGTTTTAATAATGTCAATTCTTAAGAATAAGCTGTCAGGGAAAGTTTCTCCATTTAGCGAACTTTCCCATATTTTTGCGCTAACTCTTGTAACCTGCATTCGCAACGTGTAACGATTTGTACTTAAATGTTTTTAGTGAAATGGGTGCTTCCACGTTACAACGCAATGGATTTTCGAAGCCTGAATTTGTGCGGTATATTTCTGGACGTCACGAGTGTTATAGTTGCCATCGTCTTTATCCCGCTGTGCTGGACGAACACGATTTACTACTACCTGGTTCCTGAGACGCCAATATTTCACACCACAATTTTACCCACATACTGGGAGAAATTGCACGTGGTACGATGGGCGCATGCCATATTTCTCACCTATTATACAACAATTGTTTACCAGTCGATTCAAACTGGCTCGAATATGGCCATGTTATGTGCATGTAAGTGATTGCAGTTTAATGCGCCCATACAATCTCTCCATCATGTTGGACTCGATGACAAATCACTAAAACCCTTATTCATAATCAACACATTTTTAATTATTTCTCGGGTACGGGAATTTATTCTAAAATTCTGGAAGACAAATTGGTGCTCAGTTTATGTATGTACATATTTCTGAAGCCTTCTTAAACTTTAAACCTCTTCCTGCAATATCTGGACTGTGTTTCTTTAAACAGGTTTGTGGTCCGGAAACTTATATAGGTTACGAATTTGTCGCTAAAATTTTAAAATAAATTCCCAAAGTGGTGGAATGATTAAAATGTGCTGATTTCGGCGATGAGTCATCGATTTCTTCGTTAACCGCACTGTTCGCCCAATATTATTAGTCGCAAAAAATTCTGAAAGGTTACGTGGCAGATTATTTATTTTTCAATTAGCAACCAAATAACCTCTCAGAAAATTTTCCAAGAAATTGCGACTATTAATATTGAAAAAACAGTAGTTTTTGCCTCCTGTTATTAACGGGCTGATACATAAATTAGAACTTTGTACAGATATCATAAATCGTTAGTTTTGTTAAAATAACACAAATCGATGATGATTTTACCAAAAATTATAATTCTGCACAATTCAATTTTTTGAATTCATAAAAATGATAATTCTGCAAAACCTTAAATTCGTCTTTGCAATAGTTTTAAAAAGCTCATCCAAATTTTATATTTTCAGGTACAATATGGTTCTTGTTGTCCTCTGAATTTCGGATATTTCCCAAATCTACCAAAAAATACATGACATACCGCTCGCTCCGATCAGTTTACAATCTTACACATGAATACACATGTGTAGAACTGCTTTACAAACAAATAATGGATATATATGCTTACTGGCTGCTGTGTCGCCTTATTCTGTAATTTCTCCGTTATCAAGTACTGGAACGAGCTGAGTCCATTTACAAGGGCAATATTTTTACAAAGAGGTCTATAAAATCGTAATCTCACGAAAATTAAAAAAAAACGTTTACGACACTAAATTTTGACGCAAAATCTAAATTTAGCATCAGCGTTAATGCGAAATTTAAGAGTCAAATCCATTAATTCGCAATCTCCGGAAAAGTTAAATAATCTCAACAAATGCAGCACTTTATCAAGATATATGAATGATAATGATTTTTATCGATTTGTAGTAATTTTTTTACCGATTGACAATATTTTTATTTGCCATTCCAATTACTACCGACGTCGTAACGATTTTATTCACTCTCAATCGGTAACAAATTTACTCCCATGGGGGCAGCGTAACTTTAATTCACCACTGAAGTATTTTCCTGTATTTAGGTCCTTCTCATCACTTGGAGCATGTGTACACAAACTGTTTGGGTCGTATTTCTCGAAGTTATGGGACACATGGGCGGAATGACGGCTAAAACTTTGAAGTCCTGGAAGAATATCAACTGTCGCAACGCTCTGGACAAGAAATATCTTTCAAAGTTTAGAAAGGCTAAGCGACCCTTGAAAGTTGGGGCTGAAGGGGTTTTCACGATTAAGAGGTTGACCGTGTTGAAGTTTGTGAGAGGCGTGGTAAAAGGGACGATCCGAGCGGTAATGACGATTGGGAAGGATAATAGGAAGACTTAAAATGGCCGTCTCTTTGCGCACTCTTAAAAATAATGTTAATGTTTTTAGAAGTAAATGAAGCCTCAATTCTAGATTAGGTAAACTATGCTAAATCCATACCTGTTCACTTTCATTCATTTGAGTGATTATGGTGCTGAGTGGTATTAAATGAGAATGATTTGCCAGTGCTGTCAATGAAAGATTCTGTCATTTCAGATGAACGAATTTGAATGAAAGAATTTTCACCCGTTTCATTTTTCACCCCATGCTTAATATGTACATAGGGCGAAGCAAGAAATGAAGTCGGATGAAGTGAAATGAATTTGAAATAAAAGGAGTCAAAGTGAATTATAATCTTCGGTTACATTGATGGCTGACTTTTGAATGAAAACTAAATTTTTGAACAGGTATGCCTACATCTAGAGTAACGTTACTTTCATAAACTGGGAAATTTGTCAATAAGATAAACTTCTAAAATTGCATTTGTTATCGTAGTTTTTTTTTATATGAAATTCAATGTGATAAGAATTTTGTAATTGATTTCCATCGTCTTGATATGTACACTTCATTATGAAGTTTTCATAAGTATGACGTATAATTTATCAACACATACATTTAAGTGTTACGAACTTGCAAGCCGTTTCACTTGCAAAGTACGTACTTCAAAAAATACGTTGGGTTACTACAACTGTTTTCGGTTAATTAACTTTCACGTTATTA